AATCTCTGAATAATATAGTATGTGGGAAAAACATAAGGTAATTCTTAGAATTTATAGAATGTAATTCTTTTATATGATGGAGATGAGTCAATAAATACATGAAAATGGTGTGGATAACTCAGCTGTGAATAATCAAATTAGTACAAGTTTGAATTTTGTAAACTAATTGAAGTGCAACTGTCCATTGTTTGTATTAGAAGACCATTTCCTGAGTATTTTAATCTGTTTTTAGACCATATAGAGATTTTTGTAATACAAACTGTTTGTGATTTTTATTTATTTTTATAAACAAAATTCAGTGGTTCTTAATACACTGTCAATATTGTATATGGAATGACAAGTTGTTCTTTCACTGACATTAAGATGCCCCATTTTAGTAAAGAATATAGGCAACAGATTTTAATCATACAATCCTGGACATTACTGGGAAGAGTGGTCAGCCTTTTCCTAATGTCAGTATCCTTCAAATAATATTCATGATAATACATATCATATATACATTCCTCTTTTAGAAAATTAAGGAAAATTATAGTAGTGTGTTTTAGCAGAGCATAATTAAGCCATACACTCCAGGGTTGAATTACCATTTCTCAAATAAATTTATACACAGCACAAGAAAATGTTTATATCCACAATGAACAAGTCTTTATGCTTCCTCATTTAATTTAATCAATGTAATTTCCTGAATGCATACCGGTAGACTTGTCTCCTAGGGGATTCCAGATTTTATTAAGTTGACATTTAGATTAAGCATCACAATTTCACCTCTTGCCAACTTGACATCCAAATACATTAACGTCAATATCTTCAATCCTCTTTTCAAAAAGTGGTTTATTCCACAATGAAAAATATAAATCAACTTTAAAAGCCTTCAGTCTTTCACAATTCTAGCAGTTTAAAAGTCCATAGTCCCCTCATTCTCAAGGTGTGCTGGAAAGCTTCAACTGTCAATTTGACATACCCAGATAAAGGGAACCTCAAAGGAGGAATCTCCTCTACCTGATTATCCTGTGGACATGTCTATGAGGCAATTTCTTAATTGGTAATGATATAGGAGGACCAAGACCAGTGTGATTGTGTCCACCCCTGGGCACGTGGTCCTGGGTTGTGTTAGGCTAAACACAGACCAGGAGAGCAAGCCAGTGAGCAGAGTTCCTCCATGGCCTATGCTTCAGTTTTCTCCAGATTCCTGTCCTGAGTTCCTACCCTGGCTTCCCTGAGTAATGAATGATATGTGAACTATACAAGTAAACAAAATAAGCCATTTTCTCCACAAGTTATTTCTGGTCAGTATTTATCACAGCAATAGTAACCTAACTAGAACAAAAGACCTTCTCTATGAGATCTTAAAAAATTAAAAACAACTCATGTACTTCCAGTATTCAATGGCACAGAATTCCCATTCCCATTCCCAAATGGAAAGTGAGGGTACAGTAAGGAATAATCCAGACAGCAAGAACCAAATACAGCATGGCAAGGACAGATTCCTATAACTCCATTTTGGTTTTTGTCCTTAAGACACAGTTCCTGTTGCCCAAGTGCAGCTCAGATTTCTCTTCAGTGGAGCTGATCTCTCCAACAACTACAGCTGCTTTCCTACTAGCAGCCTGAATGGCATCCTGTCTTTGTTCATTATTCAAAGAAATTACTTTTAAGATTAATGTCATTTGTGTTCTCAAGACATAGGCAGAATGAAACCAGTTTATTTTTAAAGAAACAAACTGTGAGTGCCTCTATCCCAATTGCTGATAATCTTTGTATCCCTCTGAAACCTAATGACCTGGACTTCTCAGTTCACGTTTCTTTCTACCTTCTTGTCTTTAAGCTTTCTAATGGTCCACCCATTGAGCTGATGTGACTTTCTAGCACAAAATCCCAAACTCATCCACATTCTTGCCAGAAACATTTCAAAAGTTCTTATGACCACATGGATCATAAGGAATAGCTACATTCTAATTACCAACTACTCCCTTAACTTTTCCTCTTGCTTTGATAAAATATGCAGCAAGAAGAAAACTTTAAAAACAGGTTTATTTTGATTCACAGTTCTTTACCGTTCATCACGGGGAGAGTCAAAACCACAGGTCTTATAGGGAGTTGGTTGTATTGCAACTGCAATCAAGAAATGGAGAAATGAGTACTTGTGCTCAACCCACTTTTTCATTTTTTATAGTCTTAGATCTTAGCCCAGGGGATGGCCACCGAATGTGGGCAAAGTTTACCACATCAACTGGATCAAAATAAAAAATACATAGGCATGCTCATTTCCCAGATAATTCTAGATCTGATCAAACAGACAATTGAGATTAAGTACCAAGCTACATACCCCATTTTTTCTGTGGTTATTCAGTTTTATCTTTAAGATAAAAGAGCCAAATTTCCTTCATAATCTGCTTTGTGGCAGTCGGTTCTCACTTTCTTACTCTGTCCAATTCATCTCAGGGGAATTTTTCATTTCTCATATGTAATTTGGGGTTTTCCAAGCTAGAACAAAGTTTTATTTAATCATTGCATTCTTCATTTTAAAATTTATTAAAACTATATCATAATAGCTGCACTTGTCTGTACTGTAAAGGTCATTTTCAAGATATAATGAAATCAATAAAATTTAAAGGTTTATGACCTAAAATAAATCTTTTTCAGGTAAGAGTACTCAAGATTCTTCAAGCTATTTTGTAATGAGTTTGAAATTATTATCATTTATTGCCGTGTTGTGACATAGAACTGTAGTTATCAGATCTTTGTTTTCCTACATCCTCCAATCCTTCCCCTCACCAAAGCAAGTGTAACCATCTCTCTCTATGGACATTAACCTTTTCTCTATGGACATTAACCTTTTCCTAAACAGGAAGCAATGCATTCATTCCAGCATGATAGGTGTGTAAGGCAAAAGACAAAATCAGTCACAAGATTTTCCACAACATCTCCCCCTATTTTTTCATTTTTAAGAGTGCGCACAGTTCAGAATATAAACTGATATCAGTCTGGGGTCTGTATGTGTGGCATAGGCAAGGGATTGATCCTTATTGTGGGCCCTATCCTTCAAGATGGTGAGTTCTCTTGAGAGCAGGCTGGGCCAACTCCATGCCAACCAGTGGGAGTCGAGGTTCTTTGCCTCGGCATTGTCCCCACCTCAAGGGTCACCCAGCATTATGGACTGTGCCTGTTTTAGGTTGTCCCATCTTTTGGGATCTTACCCGTCATTGACTACCAGTCCTCAAAGGGTGAGTCCCTTGGTATAGTCCAAGAGAGGGAGAGGCATTGTATCAAGCTTTGGCCCATGTAAAGGCTTCTTAAGGGGCTAAGAATTCAATAAAAGCTGATGGAGTGGGGTCGTCCCATTTGGGGTAACTATGGGGATTAGTGAGTGGCAAGTTCTAGGCATTGGTCTCACAATCTGCCAACTGGAGTATATATCACAAGGTGTTTCCTGTGACTTTGGCAGTCCGGCCGTTGTCTCAGGTCCATTGCATGGCTGTTCCATAAGATGGTTACACCTATGCTCAAGCCTAATTTTCATATCTCTATTATTATAGGTTGGTAAGGGCAAGGAACAGCAGGTCCTTGTTTGCAGAGACATGCCTAGCAAGATCTGGAGTTGGGGCAACAGCTAACTGAACCAGAGAAATATGAGTTTTAATAAAGTTATCAAGACCCTTAACAATGCAGGGTCCAAAAATCAGGAGTTAGCAGTAATGATGGCACACATAATAAGGAACACAGACAAAGGTTTTCCTCTGGATTAAGGACTTAGCTTAGCTAATGTCTCTGTTTGCGGAGAGAGGTATTCGAGGTCTTCCCAGGTTGGTGCCTTTTGTGGTCTGTGAGATTGGTCTCTCAGTGGTTGAGATGTGCCCTGCTTCCTCCAGGGTCAGAGCTGCCATCTCCAGGGTCAGTGATTGTGGAGGGAGGTTTTCCATTGCAGGCAATTCTGATGTTCTGGGCTGGGATCCAGATGGGGGCTGGAAGATTATCTGGAAAGACACAAGCATAGCCTTGCCCTTGTGTTAATACTAGGTGTGGACCTTTCTATTCACTTGTGAGAGGGTCCTTCCATCTCACCATGGGGGCAGGAGTGGACTGAGTGAACGCCCCCCAATGATTTATTGCTGGTGTGATGCCATTGGAGTCAAATTTTAGAAAATTTAATACAAATAGAGCTCATTGTATAACAAAATTGGGGTCCTTATAGCAGGGTCCTTTATCATTGTCTTGCCCTATTTTCTGTATTTGTTTAATGAGTGTTTGGTGGGAGTGTTCAAGAATCCCCTGACCCTGAGGATTGTAAGGGATACCAGTTATATACCCAATATTCC